ACCTCAGTTTACGAATTTAATTAGTTCTGCAGGACTTTTCGGATTGTGAAAAATTCGTAAACGAAACCCGGTTTCCCATAAGAATGCATTGAAAACCAATTAATCTGTTCCGAAAGACAGAAAAAAGTAAAAAAAAGTCTATTTGTTCAAAATTCTTTATATAGTGTGCTTTAAAGGCATAAATACTGTACAGGGACATGATTAAAATTTAATTTGTAAATGCATTGAAAACCAATTAATCCGTTTTGGAAGTCAGAAAAAAGTAAAAAAAAGTCTTATCTGTTCAAAACTCTTTATAAAGTGCACTTTAAAGGCATAAATACTGTACAGGGACATGATAAAAAAAAAATTCTTAAAGGCATTGAAAACCAATTAATCCGTTCCGGAGGTCAGAAAAAAGTAAAAAAAAAGTCTTATCTGTTCAAAACTCTTTATAAAGTGCACTTTAAAGGCATAAATACTTTACAGGGACATGATTAAAAATGAATTCCTAAAGGCATTAAAAAAACAATCCATTCCGGAGACAGAAAAAAGTAAAAAAAAAGTCTTATCTATTCAAAACTCTTTATGAAGTGCACTTTAAAGGCATAAATACTGTACAGGGACATGATAAAAAAAAAATTCTTAAAGGCATTGAAAACCAAGTAATTTATTCCGGAGGTCAGAAAAAAGTAAAAAAAAAGTCTATCTGTTCCAAACTCTTTATAAAGTGCACTTTAAAGGCATAAATACTGTACAGGGACATGATTTAAAAATAATTTGTAAATGCATTGAGAACCAATTAATCTGTTCCGGCGGTCAGAAAAAAGCAAAAAAATAAAGTCTTTTATCTGTTCAAAACTCTTTATGAAGTGCACTTTAAAGGCATGGATTGAAAAGCAATTAATCCGTTCGTATTGTGAAAAAAATTTGGAAACTGAGGCATTATTTTCAATGGATTTTCATTCATAAACCGAAAATTACGTTAACCGAGGCGTTTGTAAACCGAGGTACGCCTGTACTAGAAATCCGCATGACATTCCATTCCATTTCCATCATTATCGTTTCTTCTTTGTATTGGACTATTTTGGGGTGTTCTGCCACCTACTGGTTAATTAGTGGTACAAAACAAAAAAAAACATTTAGTATAGTCCCATATGGAGATCAAACTCTGGTTCACACTGAATGCAACTTTGAAATCGCACTACTTCACTTGAAGTAGCATGATTTCAGAGATGCAGATCAATGCGATTTGTACCCTTCGATTTCACTGTGGCTTGCAAATTAATTTAACAGAAGTCAATGCAAGTCGCAATGAAATTGGAACTATTTTTGAAATTGTCCTACTGATTATTATTTATATTATTATTATACAGGATTTATATAGCGCCAACAGTTTGCTCAGCACTTTGCAATATAACGGGAGACAATACAGCAACAATACAGTTCAATACAAGAGGGCTAGGAGCAGGGGCGAACTGACAACTCATGGGGCCCCCGGGCAATAGGGGATCATGGGGCCCCTGTGTCCTCACCCACACTCAAACCACACCCAAAAAAGCCTATAAAAGGTACCAGGGGCATCTCATGGGGCTCCCTACTGACCCCGGGCCCTCAGGCAGTTCCCAAGCGCCCGAATGGTCAGTCCGCCCCTGGTTAGGAGGGCCCTGCTCCTTGGAGCTTACAATCTAAGATTAGGACAGGGCCATAGAAATACATTAGATGTGACTTCAGGTGGGATTTGTAAATCGCACGTTGCTCCGGTGTGAACTAGGACTAAGTCACCGGTCACACTGCTGCAATTTGTTTGCAATTTCAAACGTAGTTTTCCCAATGCTCACGTTCCTGCAAGTGTTTGGGTGCTGTAGTGACTACGGGCTGGGAACCGCAGACAATCCAGAAAGAAAAATGTCACCAGCACACCAAGGAATCCTCAAAAGGGTCCGAAGCTTTATTTAGTGGTCACAAAATATCAACAGCGGCAAATTTTCGAACATATTGTCTCATTGTTAGTATCAGGGGAAGGATTTGTGCCCTATCATTGGTGTCCATAGTAAGAATAGCACCCTGCTATTGGTGTCAGTGGGAGGAATAGTGCCTTATCATTGGTGTCTGTGGGAGGAATAGTGCCCCATCATTGGTATCAGTGGGAGGAATAATGCCCCATCATTGGTATCAGTGGGAGGAATAGTGTCCCATCATTGGTATCAGTGGGAGGAATAGTGCCCCATCATTGGTATCAGTGGGAGGAATAATGCCCCATCATTGGTATCAGTGGGAGGAATAGTGTCCCATCATTGGTGTCAGTGGGAGGAATAGTGCCCCATCATTGGTGTCAGTGGGAGGAATAGTGCCCCATCATTGGTATCAGTGGGAGGAATAGTGCCCCATCATTGGTATTAGTGGGAGGAATAGTGCCCCATCATTGATATCAGTGGGGGGAATAGTGCCCCATCATTGGTATCAGTGGGAGGAATAGTGCCCCATCATTGGTATCAGTGGAGGAATAGTGTCTCATCATTGGTATCAGTGGGAGGAATAGTGCCCCATCATTGGTATCAGTGGGAGGAATAGTGCCCCATCATGGTATCAGTGGGAGGAATAGTGCCCCATCATTGGTATCAGTGGGAGGAATAGTGCCCCATCATTGGTATCAGTGGGAGGAATAGTGCCCCATCATTGGTATCAGTGGGAGGAATAGTGCCCCATCATTGGTGTCAGTGGGAGGAATAGTGCCCCATCATTGGTGTCAGTGGGAGGAATAGTGCCCCATCATTGGTATCAGTGGGAGGAATAGTGCCCCATCGTTGGTATCAGTGGGAGGAATAGTTTCCCATCATTGGTATCAGTGGGAGGAATAGTGCCTCATTATTGGTATTCGTGGGAGGAATAGTGCCCCATCATTGGTGTCAGTGGGAGGAATAGTGCCCCATCATTGGTGTCAGTGGGAGGAATAGTGCCCCATCATTGGTGTCAGTGGGAGGAATAGTGCCCCATCATTGGTGTCAGTGGGAGGAATAGTGCCCCATCATTGGTGTCAGTGGGAGGAATAGTGCCCCATCATTGGTGTCAGTGGGAGGAATAGTGCCCCATCATTGGTGTCAGTGGGAGGAATAGTGCCCCATCATTGGTATCAGTGGGAGGAATAATGCCCCATCATTGGTATCAGTGGGAGGAATAGTGCCCCATCATTGGTATTAGTGGGAGGAATAGTGCCCCATCATTGATATCAGTGGGGGGAATAGTGCCCCATCATTGGTATCAGTGGGAGGAATAGTGCCCCATCATTGGTATCAGTGGGAGGAATAGTGTCCCATCATTGGTGTCAGTGGGAGGAATAGTGCCCCATCATTGGTATCAGTGGGAGGAATAGTGCCCCATCATTGGTATCAGTGGGAGGAATAGTGCCCCATCATTGGTATCAGTGGGAGGAATAGTGCCCCATCATTGGTATCAGTGGGAGGAATAGTGCCCCATCATTGGTGTCAGTGGGAGGAATAGTGCCCCATCATTGGTGTCAGTGGGAGGAATAGTGCCCCATCATTGGTATCAGTGGGAGGAATAGTGCCCCATCGTTGGTATCAGTGGGAGGAATAGTTTCCCATCATTGGTATCAGTGGGAGGAATAGTGCCTCATTATTGGTATTCGTGGGAGGAATAGTGCCCCATCATTGGTGTCAGTGGGAGGAATAGTGCCCCATCATTGGTGTCAGTGGGAGGAATAGTGCCCCATCATTGGTGTCAGTGGGAGGAATAGTGCCCCATCATTGGTGTCAGTGGGAGGAATAGTGCCCCATCATTGGTGTCAGTGGGAGGAATAGTGCCCCATCATTGGTGTCAGTGGGAGGAATAGTGCCCCATCAGTGGGAGGAATAGTGCCCCATCATTGGTGTCAGTGGGAGGAATAGTGCCCCATCACTGGTGTTAGTGGAAGTAATAGTGCCTCATCATTGGTGTCCATGGAAGGAATAATGTCGCATCATTGGTATCAGTGACAGGAATTATGCCCCATTTTTGGTCTCTGTGGGAGGAATACTGCCTTGTATCTGTGGTAGGAATGGTGCCCCAAAGGGCTGGATAAAAGCAAACAAAGGGCCACATCTGGCCCCCGGATCGCAGTTTGGGGACCACTGAGCTACAGCATTCTCTAAGAGTGTAGATTCTTCTGTTGCCAATGCAGCTATGGGCTATGACATACATCCTTGATTGAGCACCAGCTCCACCAAGGGTGGTCACTTGCTGATGTGGCAGAATCCACAGGATGCTCAAAGCAGAACTCCAGGCAAAGCGTTGTTTGTAATATTAATTTAAAATGCATTTATAAAATGATGTATATTTTGTTCTATGAATGACTGCTATAAAATATTATATTTTACTTTATTTGTTTAGAAGCTTCTGCTGTATTTCTCTTTCTTGTCCCTGAAAAAGATTCAAAATGTGAATTGAAACGCGTTGGGGCTATATCAATTTTGGAGATAATTCTCTTGAGTACAGATGAAGCAGTTTCCTTTGGCATTGATCCCTATGTATATCCCATGTTGTCATTTTATTTATGATGTGTGTTTTAGCTATTTTTAGGATAAGAATAAAACTCTATTTAACCAGTTATTGTTATTAAATTATGGTGCTGGGAAAGTCATTTTCCTAAAAGTATGTCTTTAGAAAGATTTGATCCTCATGATCAAACACGTCAAGAATAATTACCTAAGCCTGTAATATACCAATGCTTAACCACTTCCCGTCTGGCCGCTGTATATAAACAACTGGACAGTGGCAGTGCAGGGGCGGGTTGCCGTTCATAAACGGCACCCGCCATTTTGGATTGTGCTCGCTCCCTGGGAACACACGGCACAGCGATCCAGTGCCCACTGTGTCCTCCGGAAACAAAGGAACACCGATCGCTGTACGTGACCTCTGTGTGAGGTCCCGATCATGTGATCACTGATTGGCCAATCAGTGATCACATGAATAAGTGTAAGCAAGATATCACTTCTGACATCATTGCTTACTATGTATCAAATCTGTGAATGATCACAGAGATCACACGGTACAAGGCTATTCACAACAGCCTTGTACCATGTGACAAGCTGTGACCAATCACAGCTCTCACAATATTTCTCAATGGCTGCAAGAATGCAGCTAGAGAGAAGGAGAAATGATTGCTTTTACAGCCTTTATGGGTATAAAAGCAATCAGTGTAAAAAAAAAAAAAAATCTTCATCACCCCCTACAAGTAGTACAGTGTCGCTATGGTGACACTGTACTGCTAGGGTGACAGTATGTTTTAAAAAAAAAAAACATAAATAATAATTTAAAAAAATAAAATAAAAATGTAAAACAAATTTTTGAAAAAATTTATAGTTTTTGGTTAAAAACTAATTTGGTTTTTTTTTTTTTTTGCTTAAAAGATAACTGAATAAATTGTGGCCAAGATTTTTGAAGAAAGATTATTTATTTGCAAAATTTTATAAGGAAAACACTTTTTTTCTAAATTTTCTGAATTTTTCATATATATAGCAAAAAAAATAAAAATCCCAGTGGTGAATAAATACCACCAAAATAAAGTTTTATCTGTCTAAAAAAAATGCTAAAAAAATTCATATGGGTACAGTGTTGCATGACCGCGCAATTGTCATTCAAAGTGTGACAGCGCTGAAAGCTGGAAATTGGCCTGGACAGGAAGGGGGTGAAAGTGTCCGGACTGGAAGTGGTTAAGAAACAGCATGGTCTCTAAGCAGATCTCAGAGTCTATATGGCATATTGTTCATTCTGAGTGCAAAGATGACGTTCTTTCTTAGGTGCAGCAGATAGCACAGAGTATGTAGAAGGCTTTAGAAATCTATTTTTATACTGTTCTGTTTCAAATGCCTATATATGCAATGCCTTACCTCCTATACCAGTCTGTAGAGACCAGTGGTTCTCAACCTTCCTAATGCTGCGACCCTTTAATACAGTTCCTCATGTTGTGGTGACCCCCAACCATAAAATTATTTACCCAGTAATTATAATTCATGAAGTATCGTTTTTTACCTCCAATACTGCTGCTTTCAACACAGTAGCTGCTTTTAACAGAGTAGCTGCTTTCAACACAGTAGCTGCTTTTAACACTGTAGCTGCTTTCTACACTGTAGCTGCTCTTTACACATCAGAAAAATGTGTATTCTAATGGTCTTAGGCGACCCCTGTGAAAGGGTTCGTTCGACTCCCAAAGGGGTCGTGACCTACAGGTTGAGAACCACTGGTATAGACAATATAGCCACTTGCTATTGATTTTGAGTTGACAAAATCCACAGGCAGCTTAACTCTTCAATAAGACGCAGAAGTTAAAGCCAACTATTTTCATTTAGTTAAATATAATACAAATATTTTTTCACAGTCTTTTGACATATAGGAAGACTTTCACAAGCCCTGTTTCTGCAGTGTAAAATGAAATGAACTGTATAACGGGGTGAGGTAGGGAATGTCTTAAATGCTGTCTGAATGGCAGCAAACAGGAGGAACAGTGGAATGTACCAACATCATGAAAAAAAATGAAAACTCTTCTGCGGCAGCATGTAGAACTAATTACAGGCAGCAAGCTGACATTTCCTATCACTGTTTCCACCAGAGACTCCAAGAATGCAGAAGGTAATGAAGATCCAGTCGGAAAGTTCCAAGGGGCCATCAGCTCCTCACACATCAGCAAAATATATTGAAGTCAAGGCTCAAGACATGACATGATGTAAAATACTGTATAAGCACTGGCAGATGGCTGGAATGGTTTCAATATTGTCCCACACGTTATTCCACTGTACAGATTATGATGTTACCCGTGGTCTTGGTATAGGCATCTAGGACAACAGAAATGTAATTAGGACCTGTACTTTGGAGAATTAATTCATTTGTCAATGTATCAGATAAATCCTGAAGCAGGGTACAGATATTTCATCATAAGTGGTCAGTACTCTAGTATCTACTGTCATATAAGTCTATGAGAACCAGGGGCGGACTGACCATTCGGGTACTCGGGCACTGCCCGAGGGCCCGGGGTCAGTAGGGGGCCTCATGAGATGCCTTTCATAGGCTTTTTTGGGTGTGGTTTGAGTGTGGGTGAGGACACAGGGACCCCATGATCCCCTATTGCCCGGGGGCCCCATGAGTTGTCAGTCCACCCCTGATGAGAACCATCACCCTGGTATGGACAGTCTTCATTCTAAATACCCTGTATAAGAAAGATGTCTATACTTACCTATTCTAAGGGCGCTCCAGTCGGCTTCAGTGTAGAGGAGGGATGGACGACAATGGGTATCCCATAGTAAGTCCATGTGTGACGTCACCCCCAGGCAGTGACGGGACATGGTCATCTAGCTCCCTGGGCAAAGATGCCAAATGGTGTTCCCCCTCTCCAGAATGTTTGAGCATTATGTGTCAGGAAAAAATCCCCCCCCCCCCCCCAAAAAGTGTGATCACTAATCTGCACGCTTACACCCAAGCACAAATTCTCTTTGCAAGCCAAAATCCTCTCCAAACAAAAATCCCCCCTTTTCCAGTACAACCCCCCACTGCTGAAATCCCCAAATCAGCACAAATTTTCGCTTCCACCATCCCCCCTCCAAACCTCAAATCCTCTCCCTCCAGGGCGGACTGACCATTTGGAAACTCAGACACTGCCTGAGGGCCCGGGGTCAGTAGGGGGCCGCATGAGATGCCCCTGGTAACTTTTTCATAGGCTTTTTTGAATTTGGGCAAAGACACAGGGGCCCCATGATCCCCTATTGCCCAGGGGCCCCATGAGTTCTCAGTCCGCCCCTGTCTCCCCCCCAACCCCCCTCCTAGCACAAATCCTCCACCTCAACCCCAACCCCCAATGCAAATCCCCCTCCTAGTACAAATCCCCTCTCCGAGTACAAATCTCCACTCGCAACATAAGTCCTCTTCCCCCATCCCCCCTCTACCCCTCAAATTTCCCCTCTGAACATAAATCTTCTCCCCCCCAAAACTATCCTCCTAACACAAATCCTCCACATCAAAGCTCCCCTCCTAATGCAAATCCCCCCTCCTAGTACAAATCCCCTCACCGAGTACAAATCCCCAATGCTAGCATATGTCCTCTTCCCCATCCCCCCTTTACCCCTCAAATTTCCCCTTTGAACATAAATCTTCTCCCACCCCAAACTGCCCTCCTAACACAAATCCTCCCCATAAAATCTCCCCATCCTAATGCAAATCCTCCCTCCTAGTAAAAATCCCCCCTCCTAGCACGAATCCTCTTCCCCCATCCCCCCTTCCAGCACAAATCCCCCCAAATCATCCCTCCTAGCACACTCCCCCCCAGCACATATCCTTTTCCCCCTAAAAAAATGTTGCATCCTAAAATAAATCATATGTCACTGCAGCCCCTTGAATTTTCGCCTCCCAGTCAGGGGCGGACTGACAACAACTCATGGGGCCCCCGGGCAATAGGGGATCATGGGGCCCCCAGGCAATAGGGGATCCCGTGTCCTTGCCCACACTCAAAAAAGCCTATGAAAAAAGGTACCAGGGGCATCTCATGGGGCCCCCTACTGACCCCGGGCCCTTGTGCAGAGCCCAAGTTTCCAAATGGTCAGTCCGCCCATGCTCCCAGAACAAATCTTCCTCCCTCAATTCCCCCTCCTAACACAAATACTCTCATCTCAAGCACAAATGTTTATTACACTGAATCTGCTCTCATTACGATTGCCAGCTTGTAGGTAGGAGCTCTCCACGCAGAACCCCCCTTCCTCCTACACCTCACATGATACCACAGTGCCCAGGGCAGCTGCCCCTCCTGCCCACCCCTTTTCCAGGCCCTGCCTCCAGGCATTGTAGCCATTGTTAGTTTCAATGCCTATTCACTGAAGCTGGCTTTCACTCTCTCCTCTTCACTGAAGCTGGCAGCTGAAGAGCTCATGCACCTTCTAAATAGGTAAGTATAGACATCTTTCCTTTCCAGGGTAGTCAGGGTAGGCTTAGCATGGGGGGAGGGAGCAGGTTTAAGCTTTGTATTTGACTGGACTTTTGACAATTCATGGGCCCCTGGGCAATAGGGTATCATGGGGCCCCTGGGTCCTCACCCACACTCAAACCACACCCAAAAAAGCCTATGAAAGGTACCAGGGGCATCTCATGGGGCCTCCTACTGACCCTGGGCCCTCGGGCAGTGCCCCAGTTCCCGAATGATCAGTCCACCTCTGGTTAAAGCTAAATTCTATCTAGGAAAAATGAAATTAGGAAGGATTTTTATATCAGAAGAAACATAATGGGGTTGGTTTACTAAAACTGGGGAGTGCAAAAATCTGGTGCAGCTGTACATGGTAGCCAATCAGCTTCTAATGTCAGCTTGTTCAATTAACAAAAAACTGGAAGCGGATTGGTTTATATGCAGAGCTGCACACGATTTTGCACTCTTCAGTTTCAGTCAATCAACCCCAATATGTCTCTTCTGCACTAAGTACTTTATACTTGTTGGCTCTCAAACTTCTCATGGGCGGGAGTTATGTCAAACAAGGTGGACCAATCAAGATGGCCGAAGATGCTGACCCTAGAAGAAAAGATGGGCAAAGATCTCGAAACTAGGAAAGGTAGCTTATAGATATCACGGGAAGGGTGGGACTGTGTATGTAAACCCTAACAATTAACTTCTCTTATTAAGGTTTGCTTAATATGCCATTGAAGTGTGTTACTAGATCTGTTCCGAAAGTGCACAAAACTCTTCACCATGCTCAGGAGCATGCTGACCATCTCCTCTTCCCCATCATGTGTCTTACCTTTTCCTCCTAGGCGCCCATGATCACCATGGTGTAGACATTTTGTTACGTATCAAAATTTGCATTATTGTGATATTCATATGTATCCGAATCTCTGAATCATAATAGTAACTAATTTCAATGAATCCAAAATAAATTATAACGAAACAATGAGTTCATTCGTATTTATTTGTTTCATTAATGAAATAGTTTGGGCCTTTTGATCATGTTGGAAGCTTCCAAAATAATGTCATGACATTTCAGATTGATTCGGTCCATTTTATATTCTAATAATCAGCCAATTCTTTTTGTATTAACATTTTTTCATTATTATAATGCAATTAAATGCAATACATGTGAAGTGGAAACATATTTCAATAAATACAGTAAGGT